GCCTGCCTGCCTTCGTTTTGGAGCAGCTTCGGCTGATAAAAAGAGGCGAATAGTTATTATTCTCAGCCGAAGCTGCTCCCAAACCAGACAGGCAGGCAGGCAGAACGGAGCACTGAATTGAAGCGCGCGCGGGCGGGCGGGGTGGGGGTAAACGGGCGCTTCGGAGGAGCTGTGGCGACAGGAAAAGCCACCCCCCCCCCGGCTTCTTTGAAGCAGTTTCTTCCTGGGCTGGTGGAGCAGCGAGAGAGCGACTGAGAGAGGAACGAGGCGGGAGGAAACCGAAGCTGCTGAGCCAGAGAGCAGGACAGGCTTCGGTTGCTTCCTCCCTCCCCTTCTTTCATTTGTGTCCTTGATCCCCGATCCCAGCAGCATTCACCGAAGGCGAAGAAAGCCGCCATTTTTTTAAAAAAAAAATTCTTTGCGGCCCGGTACAGAGTGCTCCATGGACCGGTACCGGTCCGCGGCCCGGTGGTTGAGGACCCCTGCTCTATACCATTGATCCTCCAGTTGCTTAGCAAGTGTTTCTTCCCAGTTTCCAAGGCCAGGGAAGCCCTGGAGAGGCCCAGGCAGGTGGCCATGTGAATGGCTGGGCGTGACTTGTATGTAAATATTACAAAATATTTATAAAAATATTGATTTTTTTATTAAAAAAAGAGTAACTTTTACCCAAAATCAGGCAAAGCAGGCAGGCAGATTGAATTGCTCACAGAATCACAGAATCGCTTAGATATCTGTGTTCCTGCCATCGGCTAGCTGAGTCTTCACTGCTTCAGTACTAAGCAAGGTTCCTCTCTGCTTAAAAGCAGAGCCGAAGATCTAAAGAGTAGCTTTGGGAATGCTAGGAATGTTGCATTTAGCAAAGAGTTCCACGAACAGGATACTGACCTCTGTAACAACTCAGCCTTTAAAAGAAAAGCATACTTTTGTTTCTCCAATTCTTATAGGACCATTTTAATCTAGTAGTGTGAATAAAACACCACCATAAAGTAATATAAGAGGAATTAGAATCCTGTGGCATTCATATGTTGCTAAACTGTAATTCCCAGGATACTAGGACACCAGACTACTGGTGAGGGGCACTGGGAGTAGCATGTAGAGTTATCACAGGTTGATTATCACTACTCTAAATGATCAAACACGTTATTTATTATAATATACAATATGAATTCTTCATCACTCCTAGATTTTTTTCTGTAGAGTCATATAAACCGGTACTTATATTTTTAAGAGTATGCTAAAATCACTATAGCGTTTTTCGAGTCAGGGTACCTTGTAATAAGATTTTTATAGGCTAACATTACCTTCAGAAATAAACTCTTGCATATTAAATGGAGTTCCTTCTAAATTTACATTTCATTTATCCTATCCTTATTCCAAAAATAATACATATCTATCTATATCAGAGCATGCAAAGCTATGAAACATGTCATAAATATTCTCATAAATGGCAGGGATAAGCATAAGCAACTAGGGGATGAGGCAAGTGATGAAACAAGAATTAAAACATCATGACACAAACCCTGTGACTTATGCAACTGCGCAATATGTTCTGTCACTACAATTTGTACTACAATGGCTAGGTGGGTGGGAGTCACAAAATATCTACAGAATCCAAACTGCTAGCATTGTATTGTCCCATTTGCCTATCATTAAACTTTCTCCATCCTCTTTTTGTTTTGTTAGACAAAACAGAAATATTTCCAAAGAAAGTTCTGAATTGCAGTTATACATTTTATTTTGTTTTTCCTACAAACACTTATGTGACTGAAATAGTATCCAAAGGATTTCCTTGTGGATGATGCTAAGGGCTGATGACTTTCTCCACAACATTTTAACTTTTTAAATAAAAAACAATCGGGGCAGAAGTATTCAAGGGTGGGATTCTCTCTTTCCCTCTCTTTCTTTCTCTTTCCCTCTCTTTCCTTCTCTTTCCCTTTCTCCCCCCCCCTCTCTCCCCCCTCTCTTTCTCTCTCTTTCTCTGACTCCCCTCTCTTTCTCCCCTCTCTTTCTCTCCTCTCCCTTTTTCTTTCTATCCCTTCCTTCCATCCCCTCTTTCTTCCTTTCACTTCCTTTCTCTCTCCCTTCCTCTTTCTTTCTTGTTCTTTTTCTCTCTCTCTCTTTCTCTCCCTTCCTCTTTCTTGCCCTTCCTTTCTTTCCTTCCTTGTCTTTATCTCACACACACATACCAAACTCTCTCTCGTCTCTCTCTCTCTCTCTCTCTCTCACACACACACACACACACACACACACACACACCTGGTCTGGGAAGAACTCCAGAGCAGCGAGCAGCAGGACAACGAAGAAAGCAGCAGCCCTGGAACATCCATCCACCCTTCCCTTTCAGAGCACATGGGCGGCAGCAGTGGTGAGGGGAGTGGGGTGAGGGTGAGGGAGAGAGAGAGAGGTTGAGCTTTGCAATATGCCATGGGGTAGAACTCTGCAGCGTTTGGGGGGATGTCGAGCTTTGCAGCATGGAGTGGAAGGTGGTGGTGGGGATTTGCAGACTAGACTGGCAGGGCTGGGAGGAAGGAAAAGAGGTGAGGAGGGGGGATTTGCAGGCGGTAGGGCTCAGAAGTAATGGATGAAGAGCCTTTCAGGACAGCCTTGCAATCTTCTGGCTACTCTTCTAAATTCCCACACTAACTCTTTAGGTGGTCAGCTGTGCTGTTTCAGCCCTTTGATTTCTGTTTCAGCCTGCTCCCAGTTCGCTGGGTCTTCAAATCATGCTCTCAAGGATCACACAAATTCATCCACATCTTCTAATTCAGGGGCTCCTTCATCATGGAGTTGGATGATCCAATTGGCCACTTCCCCTTCTCTCATATTATCTGCAATGGCTGAAACCATGTCCTGGTCTGATTGGTACTGTGCCAGTAATGATAACAATCAATGTGAGCCCAAATTCAGTTAAGGAAGTAGGACAGTTTACCCGGGGTGCCATCAAAGATGACTGGGAATTGCGGCAGGGCAGCGCTGGAGGGGGTGTAGTTGCAGCTGGAGGAATTGGCGGTGGAACTGGAGCTGGCATCCAGTGGTACTGGATCCACCCATGTCCAGGTTAAAAAGCCCACCCAGGCAGAACCTGGTCTGCAGGTGGGATCCCTGGAGGTGCTGGAGGTGCTGGTGGGGCATGCTGAACAGGCCTGAGTGCACCTCCCAGCCTGCCTCTGATCCCAAGGCTTGACTGGTCCAATGGCCCTGGAGATTATCCCACCATGGTGGGTGACTGGGCTGATGCCACAGTGGAAGGACTTTGCTGTTGGGGCCTGAGCTGAATGAAAAGAAGCAGATGCTCTGCTCTGGACTGCCACACCTCCAGATCCTGAATAGTGGAAAATGGGCTGTGGCAGCACCCATCCTGGCTGAACCACATGTGGGGAGGTCTGGACCATGGGACCCACACTCAGCTGTTCAAACTTTTCAGGTAGTCTGGCTAGTGATTGGCTCCACGACACTGGTTGAAGCGTCCAGTCTTGGAACTCACATGCCTCTAGGGATCGCGGTGTTCTCCACTCAAAGGCAGCTTCGGATCCTGGTTGCCACAGTGCTCCCGGAGGTGGGAGAACCCCAGTCACTGCTTCCGGTTCGAACCTTGTGATTGGTCCTGTTGGGGGGGTCTGCCAAGGGGTTGGTTCCTTGGGTCTCGCGCCTCTCTGGATTTCAGCTTGCTAGGCCTCGGCTGCAGCCACTTCTGCAACTAAAGGGTAACAGCGGGTTTTGCAAACTTCCCCTGACACAGGTCTGGTGGCTCCTTCGATGGTCTCTGGTTCTTGCTCCATCTTCCCTGAGTCTTTATGTCCCCAGTATTTTGGGGAGCATCTTGGGGCTCAGGACCCCAGGCAGCGGCACCTCTCTTGCGAAAACTGCTGGAATTTTCTTGCTGGAGGCTCCGGTACTGAGATGAAACAGATGGCCCTCTAGCCATTTCCTCCCCCCTTACATTCCCAGGAAGGTAAATCAAAGTACAGGATAGTCATGCAACATGAAAAGGGTTATAAAGTGAGAAATGCATCCAGGCCTACCAGAATGGCAGCATCCAGATAGAGATCTATGGGACCTGACATGCTGCCCCCCCCCCCCCAAGAGAAGGAGAATTTCACCTGGAAGGAAACACAAGGAGAGAAACAGAGTAAAGGTTTAGTTAGTCTAGGTGCCCTGACATGTTTTTTGGTTACCCATTAATTTTCAGAGAGCAATAAGTGTTTGCAGGGTACTAAGTATTGTGTGACCCCATGGTGCATACATGAACCAACTATTTCCTTGATTTCAAGATACTCCTGTCAACCCTGAAGCTGACCTGGGTGTGGCCATTTTCTGTAGTTTTTTAATAGGTATTTTTCTTCACATGGCTTCAGGCTTGACACATCCTGGAGCTGAGGGGTGTGTGTGTAGAGATAACTGGGGTTTTGTAGCCAAAACAAAATAGTTGTCAGATCCCTATTGCGATACTACCATTCCTGTGGGGAGGAGGCCGGGATACATTTATTAGCATATTGCTCTCTTCCTATTTCCCATACATCCTGTATCCCCCTAGTTTATAGCCTTTATCCTGGCACCTATGTGCCCTAAGCTTGATTTTCCTTTGGAGGAATGTAATAAGGGTGGAGGGCCATGTGTTTTGTCTCAGTCCTGAAGCTTCCTGCAAGACCAGCCTGGGAATCACTTATTTTCTCTTTCTCAGGCCAGCCGTTCTAACATCTTTGCACCTGTGGATTGTCTCATTCAACCTCGGACTAAGGGGAGGGGTTTCTAACTACTTTATCCTGATTATATTGCCTGAGGAGGATTTTAGATTCTGCTTTCCTTTGTCCTTGCAATCATTCTCTTTCAATAAAAGGTTCCTTTTGAAATGCTGAAGTTTCAGGAGTCTTTACTTTCTTGAATGGAGAGGAGAGGCAGACCCTTACAATAGTTTATTGCGTACAATGTTTTATTCTGTAATTATGTTATTTTATAAATATGATGAATGAATGAATAATATTCCTTTCCCACACCCACAGGTACCACCCACATTACTGGATACACAGTTCTCTGAATTTACACCAGACATAACACCCATTATCTTGGCTGCCCATACAAACAATTATGAGATTATAAAACTTTTAGTCCAGAAAGGTGTGTGTGTTCCCAGACCACATGAAGTTCGCTGTAACTGTATGGAATGTGTCTCCAGTTCAGATGTGGATAGCCTTCGTCATTCCCGATCCAGACTAAATATCTACAAGGCTCTTGCAAGCCCATCTTTAATTGCTCTATCAAGTGAGGACCCATTTCTTACAGCATTCCAGTTAAGTTGGGAACTTCAAGAATTGAGCAAAGTGGAAAATGAGTTTAAATCTGAATATGAAGAATTGTCACAACAGTGCAAGCAGTTTGCAAAAGATCTGTTGGATCAGACTCGAAGTTCAAGAGAATTGGAAATTATTCTTAATTACAGAGATGATAACAGTCTACTAGAAGAGCAGAGTGAAAATGATTTGGCAAGATTAAAACTGGCAATTAAATACCGTCAAAAAGAGGTAAGTATGTAGATAAAAAGTTAGTGGATTTTATTGCAATAATGAGTGAGGTAACATATTTCCTAAATAAGACCAAGTATAGTTCAGATCCTCTATTCTTCATTATTTCATTATCTTTCACTTTTTAATTAACATTTTATGTTATTAGGATCTAGTGGGCACTGAAATATTGCAAAAGTTGTTGTGAGGAAAACAGGAGGAAAGTATATTGGATATGTTTGCTGCCTTGAGTTAGCCCCACGTAGATACCTTTACCCTTCACTTTCTATAAGCAGAAAACCTCATCTCCTAGATGAGGATAAATATAATAGATATACCAGAGAACAAAGTTTTTCTGTCTTTAATGCTAATACCCAATAATTGCATACTTCAATACAAGGAATTTCATCTAGTAAAAATGCAGTTAAATCTATTCAATTTCTTTTTGCATGTTATATTTTGTATATAAAAATTTACTAGATAGAAGAGTTTTGATTATTTCTTTTGTTCTGCGTTAGTTTGTTGCCCAGCCAAACTGTCAACAGCTACTTGCCTCTCGTTGGTATGATGAGTTCCCAGGCTGGAGGAGACGGCACTGGGCTGTGAAGATGCTGACTTGCATCATAGTTGGATTCCTTTTTCCCGTATTTTCTGTCTGCTACTTGATAGCTCCCAAGAGCCGACTGGGACTGTTCATCAGGAAGCCATTCATCAAATTCATCTGCCACACTGCCTCCTACTTGACTTTCTTGTTTCTTCTTCTACTTGCCTCTCAGCATATTGACAGGTCAGATCTGAATATGCAAGGGCCCCCACCAACCATCGTTGAATGGATGATCTTACCATGGGTCTTGGGTAAATATATTAGTAAAGCAAATATACTTGATTTATGTATTTCTTTAATATTTGTGTTTGGAGTAATTGACTCACACAAGAGATAGTTGATGCAGATTATTGGAATATATCAAATTATTAGTTACATATTAGTTCAAGAATACATCTGTAGTCATTCAGGACAATAACATTCAATTCAAATAAAATATTTTTAAAGAACTAGCAGAAACTGGTGTAAGTCAATCATTTTCTTATTTCTATCCCAGTGTAATATTTATATCCAAAACATGGTGAATACCAATTAACATAATCACAAAGAAATGTATTCAGTCATGAATGTTGTCTTCTGTTAATGATAGTCTCAGCAATCAATAGCTCATAATTTGCCCATGAATGTTAATTCTTACCAATTTCATACCTTTATTATATATATTTAGAACTGGGTTCTATTTGTCCAGTTTCAGAGTTTAGACCTAAGCCTAATTATTCTCTATTCTGTATTCTTATGGGCTGGAAAAAAATAGCCATGTTGGAGAGAATGGGGACTAAAATAATTTGTGCCTCTTGGAACAAAATCTTTGGTTTGATGGTTGGTTTGTTGGTTTGTTTATTATATTTATAGGTCACCCATCTCACTGTTGGAGCAACTCTAGGCAAGTTACAAATTATTTTTAGAAGCAGAGACAACTTTCTTTCCCCCTAATGTCCTTTCTTCCTTGAAAAATGAACATGCTGTTTCATTAAGTTTCCCCAATCCCATATCCTGTTCCCAACACAGCTTTAATTTTTTCACCTGGGGACCAGTGGCAGGTTTTTAAAAATGCAAAATAAAAACATAAAAACTTACAAATTCAGATAAATGAGAAGGACTTCTACCCTTATATTGATAGCAAAAAGGGAAGATGTATCTTCATTTAAATTTAATGTTACCTCATGGTTGCTAATTGGAGTTAAAAATGATAAACTATATTACAGAGAGTGTAGAATTGGTTATGAGGTTAACAAGAGCAAACAGGATAACTGTTGGAAGGTACCTTGGAGGTCTTCTAGTCCACACACACACACACACACACACACACAAGTAGGAAACCCTATATGATTTCAGACAAATGGTTGTCCAGTTTCTTTTTAAAAGCCTCCAGTGATGGAATACCCACAACATAATAACAGTGTTTGAATATTTGAGGGGCGGCTACAAAGAACCTATTTTTCAAAGCATCAGGACAAAAAGTGATGGATGGAAACTAATCAAGGAGAGAAGCAGCCTAGAATTAAGGAGAAATTTCCTGACAGTGAGTAGAATAACCAGGTTATTGTACTCACTGTCAGAAAATTTCTCCTTAGTTCTGGGTTGCTTTTCTCCTTGATTAGTTTCCATCCATCACTTTTGGTTCTGCCTCCTAGTGCTTTGAAAAATAGGCTCTTTGTGGCCGCCCTTCAAATATTCAAACACTGTTATTAGGTTGTCCCTAGTCCTTCTTTTCTCTAGGCTAGCGATATCCAATTCCTTCAACCATTCTTCATATGTTTTAGCCTCCAGTCCCTTAATCATCTTTGTTGTTCTTCTCTGCACTCAACATCTTTTTTATACTGGGGTGACCAAAACTAGATGCCAAGTGAGGTTTTACAAAGATCTCATAAAAAAGTAATAACACTTCACATGATCCTGATTCTATCCCTTTGTTAATTCACCTCAGGATTGCATTGGCTTTTTTGGCAGCTGCAGCACACTGCTGGCTCATATTTAAATGGTTGTCCACTAGGACTCCAAGATGCTCCTTATAGTTACTGCTTTTGAGCCACTTTTCACCTAATCTGTATCTGCACATTTGGTTTTCCTTGCCTATGTAAAATCTTGCTTTTCTTTACATTGAATTTCATTTTGTTAAATAGGACCTAGTGTTCAAGTCTATCAAGATCCATTTGGATCATGAGCCTATCTTCTGGAGTGTTGGCTATTCCTATCAGCTTGGTGTTGTTTGTAAATTTGATGAGTTCCCCATCATTCATGAAGATATTGAAGAGTACTGGGCCTAAGAGAGAATCTTGAACTACCCTACTGCTTACCTCCCTACATGTAGATGTAGTTCCATTAAGGACTGTTCATTGAGTACGGTTTATCAGCCAGTTACAAATCCATCTGGTGGTGATACTGTCTATCCCACATGTTTCTAGCTTACCAAGAAGTAGGTTGTAGTTTACTTTGTCAAATGCCTTACTGAAATATAAGTAGGCTACATCCACAGCATTTCACTGGTCATCTAATTTAATCACATTGTTAAAGAATGTTTGACATGATCTGTTTTTGAAATTTTAATCTTTTGAATAAAATACAATTGTTAATAAAGTGCTGGCTGTTCCCCTTCTTCAAATTTAATGAGTTCCCCTTCTATTCCATTCATAGTTTATGAAGATGTTGAAAAGAACTGAGCCTAACATAGAACCTTCCTGTCTTAGAACCTGCATGCTTCCTCCCATGTTGTTGTTCCATTGAGGACTATATGTTGAGGGCATTTGGTCAGCGAGTTACAAATCCATCTGGTGGTGATGCTGTCTATCCCACATTTTTCTATTTTATCAAGAAGTGGGTGATAGTCTACTTCATTAAATGCCTTACTGAAGTCCAAGTTTGTTTGGCATGATCTGTTTTTGACAAATTCATGTTGGCTTTTAGTAATAGCTTTGCTTGTTTCTAAGTGTTTACAGATCTTTGCTTGATTATCTTTTCCAGGATCTTCCCAGATATTGGTGTCAAACTGATTGGTCTGTAATTTCCTGGATCCATTTCCCCCCTTTTTTGAATATGAGAACCACATCACCTGTTTTCAAGTGATCTGGTAGTTCCCCGGTGTCCCAGGATATTTGAAATATATGATTCAGTGGTTCCGAGATCATGTCTGCCAGCTCCTTCAGAATTTTGGGATGTAAACCATCTGATCCTGGTGATTTGAACTCCTCTAAAATGGACAGATGTTCTCTTACCATTTTCTTTCCTATTTTAATTTGAATGTATAGTCTGTCATTTATGGTTCAGTTTTTGATAGGAACAAACAACTATTATATTTATGCAGTTTCATATTGGATTTCTTATTTTTCTAATATATATTTATTACTGTATATACTCGAGTATAAGCCTAGTTTTTCAGCCCATTTTTTGTGCTGAAAAAATCTCCCTCGGCTTATACTTGAGTCAGATTCCCCTCTGAAAAAAAAAATGGTGTGGAGTCGCGGCCTCCGGCGGCAGCGACTCCCAACAGCCCCAGCCGGGAAGGGAAAGGCAAAAAGCGCTTTGCCTTTCCCTTCCCGAGGCGGCGGGACTGGGGCCGCGCCGGCGGTAGTGACTCCTGACTCAGGGGGCCTCCGAGGGAGGGGAAGAGAGTGACTCCTGCCTCCCGCTGTCATCATCATCTTCTTCTTTTGGGTTAGTGAATCAATTAAACCTTTCATGATAGTGAGATCGTTTCCCAAATTAATTATTTTTATTTTTGAAATTTACCAGTAGCTGCTGCATTTCCCACCCTCGGCTTATACTCGAGTCAATAAGTTTTCCCAGTTTTTTGTGTAAAATTAGGTGCCTCGGCTTATATTCGGGTCGACTTATACTCGAGTATATACAGTATATTTTATCAATGGAATAAAATACCAAACAGAAAAAAAACAACAGAAAAACATACATCCAAGAGTAACAACAACAAAAAAGAAAGAAAAAAGTATACAGAAAGGAAAAAATGACCCAGACATGCAATAAGTTCAACATTAAGCATAAAAAAAATCCACTCTGGCTTGATGCTTAAAAGAAAAATTTAAAAACATGATAAATTCTCATCCCATTGCATAATAGGTCTGCAAATAGTTATAAACTATCTCATCTTTATTTAACAAGAAAAAGAGATGTACAAATATTTCAGATGAGGTCTCTATCTAATAATCAAAGCAACCCAACATCTAATAAATATAAAAAATGAAAGAAAAAAACCACAAGTCAATAGGCTAGCCCAAATGTTACACTAATCTTCAAATCCCTCTGTTATTTATCTGTTATTGTATTTAACACATAGAAAATTCACAAGCAACTTCCAGTCTCTTATAAATCCCCAGGCTTCTTGAGTCATTTTTCTCTTTATGATTTTCATTCATGGAATCCTTCTCAAGTTCTTTCAAACTTTGTTGAAATCTTCTATTTTAAAAATAGTTTATGTTCCATTGCTTGTGTCTGCATCATGTTGAATTCTAAAATGATATGGTCACTCCCCCCAAAAAAGTTTCTGCAACTTCAACCTTTTTTTTTTTAGTAAGAATTAAGTCCAGTATAGCTGTCCTTCCAGTTCCCTCCTCTATCTTTTTGATGACAAAGTTGTCAGCTAGATTGGTCAGAACCTGTTAGATCTCCCAGTTGATGCAGAATTTGCCTCCCTGTGATGACCCATAGTCTCTCAAAATAACCCAAAACCCAAAACATATATTAAAGTCTGCTAAAGCCTTCAACTTAACTTCACTGTTTTATTAGGCACAATTTAAAGTCACAAAAGTAAATAATGAGGCAAACAGAAAACCAAAATATACCGCATTGATGAGAGTTCTGAAGCAAGCTGAGATAACTAATTATAAACTCCAGGAAAATAACCGAGAAAAGTCCATGGGAAGAACACCAGCAAAGCCTCTTCCAAGATGAACGCTAACTGACTTCAGCAATTCTTACTGCGCAGTTGCAAACTTATATACATAGCTCCCACCTGCAAGCCACGAGGAAGATCATGGTAATCTCTTCTTGAGTAGACTTCACTTTTCCCTGATCCTCTCCTCCCTGCGTGACCTAGGATGGATAGGGGATGGGCCTGGATCCTCCTCTGACTGCTCAGCCGGCCTCTGCCCTTCCCCAGCCTCCTCCACCACCTCAGGAGCCACACTCTCACTCCCTGTTGGCTGTTCCTCCTCTTCCTCAGAGCCAGACTCCACCAGGGGCATGACACTCCCAGTTGATTGCAAGGTAATTAAAGTCCCCCATTACAACTGTGTTGTGT